TTTGTGAACCATCTATAATGTAAGGCTGTATTGCAACGATGGGAAAATGGGAATTCCAGAACACTTATTGTACTCATAAGGAACCTGTACATAGACCAAGGGGCTGTCGTTTGAACAGAACAAGGGGACACTGCATGGTTTAAACTCAAGAAGGAAGTGCGTCAGGGTTGTGTGCTACCATACTTATTTAATCTATATGCTGAACAAATAATCCGAGAAGATGGACTATATGAAAAGGCACATGGCGTCAGGATTGGAGGAAGAATCATTAACCACCTGTAATATGCTGATGTCACAACTTTGCTTGCTGAAAGCAAGGATGACTTAAAGCACTTACTGATGAAGATTAAAGAATATAGTCTGCAATATGGATTATAAATCACTATAAAGAAAACAAAAATCCTTACAACTGGACCTGTAAGCAGCATCATGATAAATGGAGAAAAGATTGAAGTTGTCAAAGACTTCACATTGCTTGGTATTCTACAATCAAAGCCAATGGAAGCAACAGTCAGGGAATCAGACGACGACGTATAGCACTGGGCAAATCAGCTGCAAAGGACCTCTTTCAAGTGCTGAAGAGCGAAGATATCTCCTTGAGGACTAGGGGTGCGTCTGACACAAGCCATGGTATTTTCATTCACTTCATAAGCGTTTGAAAGCTGGACAATGAATAAGGAAGACCAAAGAAGAGTTGATGCTTTTGAGTTTTGGTGCTGGCAAGGAATGCTGAGAGTACCATGGACTGCTAGAAGATCTAACAGATCTGTCCTGGAGGAAGTGCAGCCGGAATGGTCTTTGGAGGCGAGAATGGCCAGACTTCATGTCACCTACTTTGGTCATGTTGTCAGAAGGGACCACTCCCTGGAGAAGGATATCATGCTTGGTAAGGTGGACAGTCGACGAAGGAGGGGAAGGCCCTCAACGAGATGGATTGACACAGTGGCTGTGGCGATGGGCTCAAGAATAGAAGGTATCATGGAACTGGCACGGGACCAGGCAGTGTTTTGTTCTGCTGTGCATAGGATTGCTATGAGTCGGAAATGACTCGATGGCACCTACCAACAACATAGCAACCATCCATCATAGAAATGCCAATATTTCAGTGTCAGTTACTCCTCTAGATTAGATTACCTTGAAATGGTACGAATCATACCAAAGTCTTCTATTTTGATCTGAGAGGGATACTTCATATGATAAAGTGTAAATTACATGGTATGGCTATAGTTGGAAAAAAGAAGACATTGTTTTAGGCCAAAAAAAAAAATCATGATGTAGTAAGAAGTAGACTAAATTGTGTTCTAGTTCTGGTTTTTCCACCACTTTAACTTCACTGATTTTCCCTCATTGGTAAAATTAGAATTTGAGACTTAGATTGTAGGGTTCCTTCTAGCTCTATTTATATGAATTCATACATAGAGACATGCTTCATGAGAAAAGCAGCTAGCTTAAACCTTCCTCTTGCCAAGCCCCTTGTCCTGCTACCAGTGTATTATATGACAAAAAAAAAAAAAAAAAAAAACGAAGTTTTCAAATACTCACTAAGTTGAATGCTCAAGAAAATATTTTAAGTGACAAACTACGAGTCATTCAACTTTCTTGTGCTCTGTGAGTGGTAAGCTAAAGAAGTAAGCTATCCTGCAATCCAAGATCTCAGGCTACATGAAAATGATTATCACATGTATACGGTTTGGTGGGTTTCTGATGGAGTAAATATAAGATATTAATGGGAATATTTGAGAGATTGAGAGCTGTAAAAAATCTACTAAATGATCCTAATTAAGACTCTGTTCAAGAGCCTTAGAAGAATGCTTAGGTAACAGTGGATTGATCTGAAGACAGAAATTGGTGACTAGAGGACAGAGGTGAAGGCAGCTTTTCAATTTCTCTTTTGTATATTTTGAATTTGCAATAATTGGGATGGGAGAAAGTAGTTAGGTGGAGTTTTTCCACTTAAAAATTGATTTATTATCTTGCATAGGTAAATTCAACCAGAGAAACCAAACTCACTGCCATCAAGTTGGATCCTGCTCATAGCGACCCCTACTTGGGTTTCTGAGATGGTATCACTATGGAAGTAGATTGCCCAATCTTCTTTCCAGGGATGGGCTGGTTGGTTTGAACTGCCAGTCTTCTGGTTAGCAGTCAATGCCTTAGGCACTGCACCACCAGGGCTCCTTTTTTTATAATAAGACTATGTAAATTTTGGGGCGCTCTGGTAGCATAATGCCTAAAGCACTTGACTGCTAACCAGAAGGCTGGCGGTTCAAACCCACCAGCCACTCCTCGGAAGGAAGATGGGGCAATCTACTTCCGGAGTGATACTGCCTGGGAAACCCAAGGAGGAGTTGCTATGAGTCGGGTCCGACTCAATGGCACATAACAACAACAACAATACAGATTATATAACCTTGTATGGCTTTTTAATTTGTGATGTATGTAGAAAACCCATGCCCATCAAGTTGATTCCAATTCCTAGTGATCCTATGGGACAGAGTAGAACTTGCCTCATAGGGTTTCCTAGGCTGTATATCTTCATGGAAGCAAACTACATCATCTTTCTCCCACAGAGCAGCTGGTGAGTTCAAACTGACCTTTGGGTTTGTGAATGAATGCCTTAACCATTGCACCACCAGAGCTCCTTATATAGCTAAAGTAATTAATTATTAATGCTAGCTTTTACAGCCTAAGTATTTGTTCTGATATGTCCTAATAACTTTAGTTTCCTTTATATATAATTTACCTCACAGGTTCTTTTCATACCCCAAAATACACTACTAGCTGTAGGTACATGATCTTTTTTTTTTTTTTCACTTCTTTATTTGACTTATAATAAACATTCCAGTGTTAGATTCTGTGCTGCAAAAATGCTGGAATTTCACAATGTAAGTCATATGACTTCATTTGCAACCAATTTATTTTGAGTATGAGTTTGATTCACATTAAATCACATCATTTGGTTTGGTTTTTCTAATTCAGGGGATCTGAAGTTCTTTTAAAGAATATCATCCTTATGCCTGTGTTGTTGGTACTCTTTAATGAACTTCTAATTCCAAACTTGCAGAATAACTTCCAGGTTTATTCTTTGTTATTCTTTTCTATTTAATACCTTTCTCTTTGGTCCCATATAGCCCTGAATAGGCCTGGTTTAAAAGACAAAACCCAAATAGAATTTTCAGTTCAGTTGATTTGAAGATTGTCATTTGATTTGGCATACTTTCTGAGTATAGTGAAAAGTAGTCTAACAAATATATCTGGAAAGGATGTGAACTGTTAAATCAACAGTAGTTAACAGCTTGGTCTTTTCCTGCTATTAGCAGTTCTAATCAGTGCCTTTGAATGCCTTCGATTTAGTCAAGAGAAAAATATAGAGAAATGGATGAAGGGGGATAGGGAGGAGTTGAATTAGGGCAAGCAAAAAGAAGTACCTATATTGACTCCTATTTAATCAAACAATTACTTCAGTGACATTTTGGCATGTAGTGTCTGTCTGCCCTTCCTAGTACACTATTGTTTAAAATTTAACAAACTTCCTTAAAAAATTAATTTTTAAAAATTCAGTAACACAAATTAGTAAATCTTAATCTGAGTTTTCAAAGCATTATATTTGTTTTGTTTTGCTTAATGATTATGAGGAGGAGGATTTGTTTTGCTTAATGATGGTTGATACAGATCCCTGGTAATTGTGTTCTTACAGAGATGCTCTTAAGACACTAAGTCCTTAAAATTGAAATGCTGTGTCTGAACCTCATTTTGGTGATAAAATAATACCTGTCATTCACTAAGCATTGACTGTATGTCAGAAACTTTACATATGTTCTCAGTTCTCAATTCTATCCTGAAAGGATAGGGTTAATATCACTATTTCAGAGAGAAAGAGAAGACTTAAGTTAAACCTTAACTCTGCTATATGTTTAGCATAGTGGATTAGCAATATCACTTAACTCATGAAAGACGCTGTTGTGAGAATTGAATTAATGATATAAAGCATTTAAACTGGTGTCTGGTGTATAATAAGTGCTTGTAGCCTTAAGCTGCTGCTGTTACTCTGCTACAACATAAGTCAGGAATTGTAGATGTGATAGTGACAAGTTTTTGTTAGTTCCCTAACTAATGACAGATTGGAGGTGGGGGGGGTAGTTTGGGGGATATGCTGAAATGAAGGGGACTGTTCAGAAGAAGGTTTGTCAAAAGTTTAGTCCCCTGAAAAATCACTATGTAGGTAAGATGTGAATCACACATACTGGAAGTTTACCCTAGTGAGCCCATCAGTTAAGATTCTATGGTGATAGCTCTGTGTAATGTGTCCCCTCTCCATGGTAGAGATGAATGATGATTATGGTAAATAGCCTGTTACCCTTTAAAGAGGTACTGTACTAATAATACAAGGAGCTCTTGTAGCCTAGTGCCTAAGGCCTGTGACTGCTAACCAGAAGGCTGGAGGTTCAAACCCACCAGCCACTCCTCAGAAGGAAGGTTAGGCAATCTACTTCCATAGTGATATTGCCTCCGAAACCCAAGGAAGGGTTGCTATGAGTCGGGTGACTTGTGTCTTTTTTTTGGTGTTTTGTTTTTGGTTGTTGTTACTAATACAGGTGGTTAGAAAACTGCCATAGCAATTGCAGTGCAAGTTACACCTTATTTTACATGAATACTGTACCCGAGAACAGCTTTGTTAAATTGCTAAACATGTAGGGATTTGTAGAGGCATCTGATAGTCATATTCATACATACACACATAAGTGGATGCCAGTAAGTTTTTAAGTTTTTCTGTATTGTCCATTTTAGAACTGTGATCCTGAACTGTTGTCATGATCTGCTGCATTTCGTCTAGGTTTTAATCTTACAGAGTGTTTAAGTAAGCTTATGCATTTTTAAAAAATTATTAAAGTTAGTTACACTGTATTAGAAATAAAAAATTTTCCAGTTTTTTTTTTGAAAAGTAGTGATTTTACTGTACATTCTCAACCTCGTTTCCATTTGATTCTTGGATCTCACAGGAATCCTTCAACTGCTTTCTACCAAGCTTTCCATTTGAACACCTTTCAGGAATCAAAGAACCTCTGGGATAGGTATGAATACTTACGTATGGAATGCATACATGCAAAAAGTGTATGCATGAATTGCTTTGCACTGTAATAGTTTATCATAATTAAAACTGATCATTATTTGTTATTTGAGGCAAGGGGGGATCACATGGTATGTAGCATGGGACAGAGCAGCAAAATAAACCAAAAATACAATCTATATTTGTATTTGGTATATATTATATAGCATAAAACATACTTTTTCTTTTTTTACTTAATTTTGTATGCTTTAAGTATTTTTATTTCTTAAGGAGTTACATATTCCATTGAATTTTATGGTATGAAATATCCACTTATATTTATTTTAATGTAGAAATTTATTCTATGAAATAAACTACAGTTATTTTAATTTCTGTGCTGTTTTCTACAGTTCCTCTGTAAAAGTCTTAGTGACTCAAAGCAAAATGTTATTTCAAATTAAGAAATTTGTGGAGGGACAAAACCAAGGTATCAAGATAATTATTTTTTTCATTTTTTGGCAAAAATCTTTAAAGTTAACTTTGTTTGCTATAGATCTGCATTACTGATTTGTAAACCACTAAAAGTTTGTTTTCTCACAGAAATATTACTAGATTTTATTTTTAACATTTTTAAATATAGAATAAAGTATTGGAGTTTATTTATGGTAAGAGATACTTTGGTTTATCTTTCTGCTAAACACACATTTTTAAGTAGTGTATGCTCTGTTCAGATACTTTGCTGAATATTTATTGGCACTCCATCATTATAATTACCTGACGTTTATCACAAACAATCTTTTTAAAATTCACGCATAACTTTGTTAGATTCTTTTGACTCTGCCTGGCAGCGCATTTGTGTCCTTTGGCATAGTTTTGATTAACATTCATGGATTCGATCTCTTTCATCATAGAAGAGTATTACTAAGTGCATGTACATGTCATATTAAGACATGGTCTACATTGCCTAGAAATGGTAACATTCTTAGGCTTGATTTGCTTGTGTGTGTCACTGTAAAGAAATTTCTAACCAAGTATCTTTTTTGGTGATGTGTTCCTTAACCAAAAATGTCTTAAAATAGTTAATGTAGAACAGGAAGTTGTAAAGTTTGTAGTACTATGCATATAAAACCAAATTTTAAATACCATATTTTTATACAAATAATGCACATTATACAGTTTCCAAACCATGCAACTCCATGTGTTATTTTCATAAAAATATACCATTTTTTTTTCATGTTGCTGACTGCAGTTCTTTTTACAAGAAGTAAAGGTCTTTTTATATACTTGTCAGTATATGACTAAGGTGACTCATGATCGTTGATCAAAGATGTTGGTGCTAATAATACATAATTAGACTGTGAAATAAGCAGACCTAACATAGCTTAATGGTTTCCCTTAAGATGATCTAATAAGGTTTTCATGTTCAACTCTTGAGCCAAGAGTGATTGTGTATCAGTTTTGCTTTGTTTATTTACTCCTCCAATTAAAAACCAGAGTCAGAAGATGACTGTGATAATTATGTCAATGTAGATTGAATTGAGATTCCTGTTGATAGCTACTCAGTGCCATTTATGCCAGTGCAGGCTTCACTTTATGCTTCGAATTGATAGCGCATGATTTATGAATGAGGCCAAAATTCACTTCTGGAAATGTCACAAGACACGTGAGTGTATGTGTGTGTGGGTACACAATGCAAGACCTTTTTTGATACAATTTTGTCACTTCCACACATTATTTACATGAGCATGCTATATATGAAAAAATATGGTTGTTTCTCTAGCAATATAAATTAAGACAAACTAGCATGAAGATTTAATCACTCAAATTATTTACCAAATATAGCTAAAGTATGAATACTTTCCAAACCAAAAACCATACTTAACTGCTGTCGAGTTGGATCCAACTCATAGTGACCCCTCCTTGAGTTTCCGAGGTGGTATCTCTACAGAAGTAGATTGCTCAGTCTTCCTTCCAAGGAGTGGCTGATGGGTTTGAACTGCCAGCCTTCTGGTTAGCAGTCATATACTTCAGGTACTATACTACAGAGCTCCTATGAATACTTTTGTGATATACTTATTTTTCCCTGAGAAAAGAGAAAATTAATACTCTATTTAGAGATATAATAAAATAGTAGCTTTTAAATGTATGATTATTTATTTCAAATATCTACCTTCCATGGCTTGCCATGACATCAGTGTGAATATTATATATTATTTTCATCAAAACAGTGATAAAAAGGCTTCAGTTTTATTTTTTATAATTTGGATTTAATATTAAAAGTTTTCCTTTTTTCACTATAAACCAACTATAGTAATTGCCTGCTCATCATCTGTTGTTGCAATTAAATACACCTTATCTCTCTTATTTTTTGGATACCAGAAACCTTTTAAGTATTAGAAATGAGGCAAGTTGCTGTGTAGTTTCTTATGAGTTGAAAATATTTTCTATTCTCCTTGGACCATGTTGTTCATAGCCAAAAAAGTTAATGGATATTAGTCTATAGTGTGTTAATGCTGAAGTGTAATCAGAATTTATATTCTAGATCAGCCATTCTTCATTGTAAGTAGGTATTATTGGTACCAAGGTGACAGGCCCAGCCGAGTAGAAATTGACTAGTTGCTTCCTTTCAACAAGCTTATTCAGTTTTTAATGGAGAAGAGCAATAGTGGCTAGATTTATTCTAACCATCTAAGGAAGATTGGGCAATCTACTTCTGAAAAGATACTTCCTCGAAAACCCAAGGAGGGGTCACTATGAGTCAGATCTGACTCAATGGCAGTGAGTTTGGTTTTGGTTTGGTACCTACAACTTACTTGGTAAATATCTGTACACTTGTTAATAGGTGCATGGAGTTACTACTTACCTCATCTTATTTTGAAGTATAAATTTGTCTATCAATATTGATAGATACTCTTATTTTTGAAATCTTAGAAATCATTTTCAGTATGGACAGCTTTTAAACCCAGTGCCAATTTTTATTAAACCTGCTGTAGATCTGAGGACCCCTAGTTTTGACTTACTTGACAGACTGGGGTGTCTTTTTCTTCCCAGGGTTATTTCAGTGTAGCAGAGTATCTTTTAATCAAAATACAATTAATACATCTTTCTTACACTGACTTAAAGTTTTTTAATTGGTTACTTGGTTTCCTTCCCTACTTAAATTAAAATTAGCAAGTTGAGGGACTTTTTACCCACCAGTCTGCCTCAGCCTATATTTAGATAACCTCTTTTTCCATTGGTATTAGTGCTTTATTCAGTTACTGTCCTGAAGTTGAAGCTACTCAAGCCTTCTTTCCTTCTTCCTGTAGGTGCCATCATTGTTTACTATATTCCCTATTTGTCACTTGCCAAGTGCTCAGAGAATCAATCAGCTGAAACCATCTTCAAATGTAAGGACAATAGGTACTGATAGTTAAAAAATAATAAAATGTTTCTTTGGAAGCTCAATCTGCTGTAGACTGTTTATTAAAATGAATAGCATGGCTTCCATAGTTAGCTTTCTAGGAGATGAGTTAACTATGAAGAAGTCTATTTTTAACGATTTTCTAGCCTATTGTCATTTCAGAGCAATAGCTTTAAAATTTGGCATTTCTCTTCTTTTAAGACTGATTTTCCAAATTTAGTTTTGGTATTGCTTTGTTAAACCAAGAGAACCAGTTTAGAAACCTATCCTGATGATCAGTGGGGAGCAGCTTCTCATTTGGGAGTCCCTTTGTTTGGAAAATCTCAGGGTAAGAGTATATAGCAAACAGGTTTACCCCCTTGTAACCATTGTTAAAGCATTCTCCTGCTAACCAAAAGTTTGGTGATTTGAACCCACCAGCTGCTCTGCGTCAGAAAGATAGGTGGTCTATTTCCGTAAAGATTCACAGCCTTGGAAACCCTGTGAAGCAGATCTGCTTGGTCCTGTAGGATCACTATGACTTGTAATCGACTCTGTGGTAGTGGGTTTGGTTTAAAAACCAGCCCAGCAAAGTAAAGGAGTACTAGAGGGAAGAAATTTTAGGTCAGGTGCACTAAAACAAGAATTTGTATCCCTTGTGAGGGTTTAATCTCATTGATAAATACTTGGAGTACTTCTGCAATTATGAAGGAAATGCATAAATATACTTAATAAAAGTAATAGTTGTCAGATACGTCATCCCCTTGAGTTTGTTTGTCCTTTCTTATGGTAGCACCATTATTTAATGAGAAATAAATAAGAGTAGTAGTATACATGGGCTACTAATCTAAAATGCAAGTCTAAGTAAGTTTATGTTCGTTTTTTTACCAGCTAGATTTCTGTTAAAGTTTTTTTACAGTGATTATTTACTCTGGTGGCATAGTACCTAAGACATTTGACTGAGCTCTGGTACCATAGTGCCTAAGGCACTTGACTGCTAACCAGAAGGCTGGCGGTTCAAACCCACCAGCCACTCCTCGGAAGGAAGGTAGGGCAATCTACTTCCATAGTGATACTGCTTCGGAAACCCAAGGAGGAGACGCTATGAGTCGGAATCTACTCAACAGCAGTGAGTGAGTGAGTGAATGAATGAATGAATGAGTGAGTTTAAAAAGTATTGGATTTTTTTTTCTTCTAAGTATTCTTATTTAAATAATCTCTAGTATTTTGTATTAGAAAATACTTTCAGTATTTTCAGTCATTTTTTTTCCTGTAAGATGTCTGTTTTGAAGTAAGGAGTAAATCAGATCTAAGCTTCCTATGTCATACATTTTATGGGTACCATATGAGACAATATGTTTTGTTTTGCTCTTCTTTGGAGAAGTTTAGGTCTGTCATTTATACCCACAGTCCTTGTTAATTCAGAGGGTAAGATTTCAGAATTTGGCTGATTTCATTTTTGAAAGTTCATCCATATGACCTATTTTGGGAAAAACATTTATTAGATACAATACCTATCTAATATATTTGTGAATGGTACACCATTCACAAATATACAGCTCAACCTGAACACACCTGTGTAGCCATCACCCAGATCGAGACATAGATAATGGTATTATAAGCTCTTTTATGACCTCTTCATG